AAAACATTTAGATGTGATACCCCGATGACCTCCTATGGGCTCCCAGTTTCCGTACAGGACTTCATTACACTCAACCCATCACCCCTGTACTGGATACATCCCCAGTCAGCCACTAAGACCCCACCGCTTTGCTCTGAGCATACCTTGGCTCTGCTTTTTTGTTGTTGTTTGTACATACAAAAATCCATACATGGCTTTTCCTCCTGACTTGCCCACATACTGCCTTTCCTCACCCCAACATCAGTTTCATTATTCTGTGCGTGCATCTGGGAGAAAGGTTTGCAAGAAACATGTTTGCAAAAAACATCTTATCGAAATTAGTGTTTTCACAACATATGAGTAGAAGTGATTTCTCCAGCTCTTGGAGGGCTGATCTTTTTTTTCATTGACTGACTTCAGAGCACAGGTGGCAAACGCAAGGCCTGCAGGCTGAATCTGGCCTCAGGCCCAGCACCTTGTTTCCACTCAGCTACGGCACTGAGCTCCTCACCCCCAGTTAAGGAGAAGTTACATGTATACAGTCCTAAAGTTACATTCGGCCCTTTGAAGGCAACCGCCAGGCTGAAGTGGCCCCCAGTGAAAATGAGTTTGACACCCCTGTGAGAGAGAGGAAAGGACAGAGAGAGAAACATCACGTTGTTGTTCTACTCTACTCACTAATGCATTCACTGGTTGACTCTTGCGTGTGCCCGACTGGAGATCGAACCCACACCTTCGGTGTATCAGGACAATGCTCCAACCCACTGGGCAATAGCCTGGGCCTGCAGGGCCTATCTTTACATAGGTTGGCATCTGGTCTCTACAGTGTTTCTAAGAGATACTATGTCTCACATTCCAAACAACTGCATTCTGCACGCATTTGATGGCCCAGCCCTTTCATAACTTGAGAATTGCAGTGATCGAAGTTCCAAACTGGTGGAAGGCTCACTTCGGAGACTTGAATTTAAATTCTGGCTCTGTCACCTACTAATTAGGTGACTTTGGGCAAATCACTAAACTCGCTGAAGTATGTTTCTTTATCTGTAGGGTGAGAAGATAATCTTGCTTACAGTGTTGGTACAAAGACCTAGTGAAAGTTTTTACACACATGTAGCCATGGTGCTGGTGCATAGCAAACACGCATAAGTGACAATTATTATAGTTGCTCTGACATAAGGAAGAATTAGGACAATTACGATATTTGTTAAATTATGAAGAGTTTTTTTACATAAATTTCAACATCTAACTGACATATTTTCATTATGGAAAGCTTCAGGAAAGGGGAAACTTAATGGGAGGAAATAGAAATCAACTAAAATCTCATCTCGGTGCATTTCCTCTCAATATTTCACTATGTACATGTATACTTTACACAAGTGGAATTAAGCCAGGTATCATGTTACTTTACATCCAACATTTTTTCACTTAAAACACAATAAGCTTATTTTTCAGTAAAAAATATTTAACAAATGATAGTTTTAAAGAATTTAAAATTTAAGGGAATTTTATAACTACTCAGTAATTAATGATCTATTCCTTTAATGCAGAATATTTAGCTTATTTCCATTTCCTTTTTTACTCTCATGAACAACACTTCCGTATAAAATCCTGGAAATTTTATATTTTTATCTATATTTGTGTTTATTTACTTAAAATAGCTGCATAGAGGTAGTATTGCCAAGTCAAAGAGCACACACATTTTTAATACTCTTGCAACAGACAGTTGAGCAGCCCTTCAGAAATACCGTAAAACCTTATCCTCTCTGGGGTGTATTAAAAGTCATGCTGTTGCCTTCCTGTTCACGTCTGCGAGGAGTCCAGAAGATGACTTCTTTGCCAAAGAACAGCTGCTTTGGAGAGTGGACACTGGGGCCTGCCCAGCATGCACTTCCTTTTCCTAACAGTGCCCCAAATTCCTTTTGGGGACTTTGTCTCTGCCCCTTGTGCAGCCTTGATGGGACTCCAGAGTGGGAAGGGACCCCTGAGCAGCAGAGAGGATGCTGATGAAGTGCCAGCTGCAGGAGCCCCCGCCCCCAGGATCTGCCCCAGCTCCCAGGCTGCAGAGCAGTGTGCCCGGTGCTCCTGGGGCAGGCACCTGGGGGCCCTGTTTCCACAGCAGGCCCGCCCTTGGCCTCGCATGGGGGGCTCGCCCTGCAGTGGGTCTGGGCCAGTGCTGGAGCTTTTAAATAGTACCTTGTCTCTTCTTTTCCTTTCTTCAATCCCAAATTAGGCACAGAGAAGGCACGTTATCCTGAAGTGTCAGGCACAGGGAAGGTGCCCAGAACATGTTCAATGAAATGACCTTGGAGGGTGACTGAGAGCCCGAAAGAGAGAGACCGAAGGGCTGTCTCATGAGCCTTGTTCTGGAAGGCCGCGGAGAAGTCTACCAAGGGTGCGGACGGAATGACCCTTCCTCATGCTAGGTTCGTCCTGCCATCTAGTGGCGGGCACGGGAAGATGGGCAGGGACGAGGCCCCCCAGCAGAGGGCAGTCAGGACATGAGGAACCTGGGAACCCCAAGTGCTTGAGGCCACCATTTGCGAGCAGATGGGCTTGGAAAGACCTGGGGAGCAGTCCATGGCACCTCCGAGGTTGGGGTACTGTGTGAAGGCAGCAAGGACAGGAATTATTCTCAATAATAATTACAGCTACTGTTTATTGAGCACTTACTATCTACCAAAGACTGTCCAAAGTGCTTTCCATACCTTCAGTCTCCGAGCACTCCCAGCAGCCCCCTGGGAGCATGGGGAAACCGAAGCCCACAAAAGTCAAGAGACTGGCCCGGGTTCACACAGCCAGTCAGGGGCAGGGCAAGACTCCTATCGAGCCAGATCTGACTCCACAGCGTGGGTTTCTAGGAACATTTCTACAATCACCGAGAGATCTCCTGCATCCCTTCTTGTCCACCACCCCTGGCCCCACCCCCACCCAACCCATTCCCTGGATGACAGAGAGGGGTTCGGTTCATAGCGGTTCAAGGCCCCATCTCCACTTTCTACTCCTCTCTTGAGTCCTGCGCGTACTCTGAGCAACTCTGACATGAAGCTTTTCTCTCCCTGGGCGAGGACTCCCTGTCAGCGGGGGAGAGAAGACGGTGGTGATGCCCCGTGTCTACGGTCAACAAATATAAAATGTTTTAGACTAACGTTCCCTGTTCTTCCCCTTATTGGTCAAGTGAAGTGGGGATGCAAACCGGGCCCTTTAAAAGACACAGTTGCGTTTCAGATGGGCCACTGAAAGCTTCACTTCTAAATTCAGAAAGAGCTTCTTGTGCTTTGTAGGAACAATGGCAGGGCTGGCCCAGGGCTACCGAACCAACCAGCCATCCAGCGAACACACAAGGAGGCCAGGAGACCTGCCAGCCTGCAGACTGCCCCACATTTAGGGGATGCTGAGGTTTACTTAGGAAACTGCAGCCCTTCCTCCTGCCTGGCCCACCCAGACGAGTAATAAACCACCTATTTTTAGTTTAGGGTTTTGTTTTGCTTTTCCCTTTTTAGAAATTTACCCAGACCTGTTTCCCAGGCGTGAGAGCTTGAGTCGCATTGAATTTACTGCTTGTGGGGTTTAAAGAGAAAAGTGGTCTTCAGACACACTAAGACTGCAAATTCCTCCCAAGAATCAAAATTCGTCTGCGATAATTTCAATATAGTTCATTTAACACAAACACAGCACTTGATGCCTTACAAGACCAAAAAAAGCTGATATTTGGCATCTCCAAGACTCCTTCTCCGAGTCAAACCCTCAGTCCCCAGGTCCTGTCTCCCAAGCACCATCACGCCATCCTCGCTCAGCTGCTTCCAGCCCCGGCGGCTGCCTGCCTGCCTCCCTGCTGACAGCAGGGACAGCCCCTTCCTTGCCTTTTAAGTACCAGTGGCTGGTTCTTACCACTCTCCACTCTAGATACCTGTTGATTTCCCTTTTCTTGCAATGATATGATCAATTAACTTTATTCACTCATTTAGAAAACCAACATCTATTGATCTCCTATCATGCACCAAGCACCAGGCTAGGGAGGAGTACAAGTCACTCCCAGCCAAGAAGAAGACTCGTAAATGAGGCAATTACACCATGGTATAGAAAATGCTCAGCCAGAGATCTACAAAGATACAACGGGGACCTCCCATCAACTCCTCTCTCCACTTCCTTACCTTGCCCCCAGCTCTCGCCTCAAGCTCCTGCAGAGCTCCAGGTTTTGCTTTCACCTACATGGTTAGATGGCCCCCTTGCCCTAGCATGGCCAAAAGCAAAGCCAAACATGAACTGAAAAGGAGCTGTGGCAGCCTTTGGAGAGTGGACCAGTCCGATAAGAAAACACACGAGAGGGGAGAGAAGTCTGCAAATGCACCACGGGCACTAAAAATAAAATTTGCGAAACGCCTAAATGAAGAATAGGGGAATAGATGGATGAATAATTGAAGGATTCGATAGATGATTTAGTGAATGAACCAGAGAAGGAACTGTTGACCTTGAAGCAAAACTGAACTTTAGAATCTCTAACATGTGCGCTTGTTCATTGAATGCCATGCTCCCCAGAAGTTCCCCTGCAAAGACTTTTATTTTAAGAAATTTAAATTACTTAAAAGTTCACTAAGAATGTGACAACACACTTGAAAAACAACTGGAACTGCAAGGGGAGTTTCAGAGCCAGGGCTCAGGATCATTGGGCAGGAGAAGGCCGAGTAGCCGCCCCCATTCGTGTTGGGGAAGAAGCTCCAGGTTCCTCCAGCCAGAGCCTTGGGAGGGGACTTGGCTGTTGGGGGGCGCTGGTGCGGGGTTTGGGGCTTCTCATCCAACCAAACAGGTGTCCCATCCTATCAATGGCTAGAAAGTTAGATGTGACTCAAATCACTGTGTCCAGCCGCCGTTTCCATGTTTCCTACTTAAGAGAGAACTTTGGGGAAGCCTTTGGTGTTGCAAACAGTTGCATTCTAACATTGCTGTTCTTAAATGGAGATGTGCTGTAAAGAGGACCAGAATCATGGAGGAGACATTTGCCTGGTCAGGGGCTGTTCCAACGCTTAAATGCCTGTGAAGGCTCCCTGGTTCTTTGGGATAAACTGGCTGAAGCTTTTGACTTTGGGGTTTAGTCGCTGGGTGAGCTGGACATCACAGTCTGGCTTCGTATGATAGAAACAAAACACGTCGGCCATTTCCTTCGCTCCAGGAAATCCCAGCCTCTCGTAAGCTTCTGGGGTGATCTTTGAAGAACAAGTTTTTTAAAAAAGTTGTTTTTTTTTTAAAAGAAAATGCTCTAGCTCTCATTGAAAATAGTTGGAGAACAAATTATTCACCTTAAGGATGATATAGGTCTACAGTTCTTTAGCTGAACTCCAAAATCCAAGAAACTCTCAAGTTTTTAAATAAGCAATTTGACAGCAAACTGACTTTTCTGAACTAATTCAGATCTGAACTGATGTGAAGCTAGTTATGATCTTTAGTTATCCCATTTAGTGGAAATAGTCATGTATTTTTCTGCAGAGAAACTGAGGTGTTTGATTGCAGGTTCCCGCCCCCGCCCCCGATGGTGATTTTATGTGATACATGTAGCACATAACCTATCTGAAAGCAGAAAGCTTCTGAAAGCTGAATTGCTTCTGGCCCCAAGCGTTTTTGGAAAAGGTCTTGTGGGACCTTTTCATATCCATTTCTTTGTGGGATTCCCTCAGCAGCCCCTCAGCCCACCCATTTGGCTGCCCACGCAGGGTCAAGGCTCCCGCTCACCCTGGCACCAGGCTCTCTGTCCCTTCCTCCTGGCTGAGGTCCCTTCACCATCACTTCCCTCCTTGGTTAGAAATGAGCGCCTTGGCTTCAGCCATCCCAGACTCTGCTAGGCCGGGGCTCAGACAAACACTGCCCGTCTGTCACACACTCACGGAGCTGCCTTCTGTCACCTTCCACAGAACCCGCCCCCTGAGTCCCTCAGACACTAACTGAAACAATAACCTCCATCTGAATTAGCAAAAACCATTTCCAACTATTGGCCCCCAAAGGTAAACTCTAACCTTGGTATTCCATTTGGTCTCAGAAAAATGCAACAAACAATTCATATAAAACAATGATTGTCATATGTCATTCATACAATAAAAATTCAAGAATAACTTACACATGCAACAAAAGGAGTGGCAGAATAAATGATAGAGGTACATCTACTTTAAGAATATTAGGCAGCTATTAAAATTAATGTTTTTGAAGAACTTTAACAAAATAGAAAGTGCTCATAATACAATGTTAAATAAGAAAGCTAGATATAAACATGTATATAGTAGAAAAAGACTAGAAAAAATGTAGGAAGTCTTAACAGTTGCTATCTCTGATAAATTAAAATATGTGATTTTTATTTTCTTTTTTTATAATTTTCTGAAATAAGCATGTGTTACTTTGAAATCAGAAGAAAATGTAAGCTTTTAGTAAGAAAACTATATGAGCAGCATGGAAGATGACTTTGAAGATGTCTGTCTCCTTGAGTCACTCCTCCATCCTGTAACATTGATAACTACCAACCCCTAGTAAAATAGAAGATTCTTTTGTGCAGATTTTGAAGGAAAGAGATTTGTTTTGGTTGTGTCTCACTTTCTGAGAGGACCGTGTTCCTTTTGGGGTTGGACAAACATTTTTCAGCCAGACCAGAGCTCCTGATGGGAATTTGTTCAGGGCCATGGACTCACTGAAGCACTTCTGGAAACAGCCCCCTTCTAACCAGACTGGGGAAAAAAAGTCAGACTGCTGAGGCTGGAGCACCACCTTGTGGCCACATGTATCCTTTCCCAGAGTGTCATGGGGCCTAAGCATTTCCCCACTCTGGAACCCTCCATGGGCAGCGTCCTCAAGTCAGACTAGTTACTAAGAACAGCATTAACCATTCTGTAAAACTCCCCGCTTTTAATGCCTTAGGACTTTTGGTGCCAGAAAAGTTTCTGCTGAATTGCGAAATGATTTGATGTATCAAGAATAGTCAGGGATCAGGCTTGTGACTGAGAGATGCTTGGAAGGTCCTGAGCCATCCAAAACCATGTCTAGCGTCCACCATAGATGGCGGCATAGGTAAACACGGCTCACTGCCTTGCAAAGCCACATCGAAATTACAACTAAATCATAGAACAGTCATCACTCAGAACTGTCAGAAATCGAGTTGAATGGAAGTCTGACAACTATGGAATTATAAAAACCTGCACAGAGGGCAGAGGTTGGTGGTCAGTGGTCACAGCCAGTCCTTGCTGCTGACTGGTCTGGGTTAAGTCACTCCCACTGACCTGCCAAGAGGAACCAAGGCTCAACTATAAGCTCTAACCAGCTGACCTACCTGGCAAGAGCCCATGCTGTTTTGAACACATTGAGTTGAGGTATCTGCTGAGCATTCAGATGGAACCATCCAATAAAAGAGAGGTCAGAAATAAGGACATGGATCTGTGAATTTGGGTGAGGCTGGACACAGAAATGAGCCATCACTGCTCAGGACAGTCAAAGCCACAGAGATAGGGGGGTAGAGGTGACTATGATGAATTGGTTAGGGAGACAGGAGGACCAGGGAGGAAAAGAAAGCAAATACCATAGCCACCAACATTTTCTCAGAACTGTGACACTATTTTTATCCTCACTGGGATGGTCAATAACAACTTTTTCAAACATCCTGGTGTTCTTTATTTATATACCACCTTTTTCATAAATATTTTTTGCAGCTTATGATAAATATATACCAAAAAAGCAGTAAAATAACATGAAACAAATAAATCAGAGCAAGAAAATAGGAGATCAGGTTAGGAGGTCAAGACAGCAGGTTGGGGGAGAATAGAATTAGAATACAATTATGCAAGCCAAAGGGGACTACAGAGTTGCTACAGTAGACTTGCTAGTTTGGCTCTGAGCTTCCTAGTGGCCAAAGTAGGAAGAGATAGTCATATTACCTCCATAAGAAGAAACTATACTCTTATGCAGGATTAACTGATTTGGCCAAGAACATAGATGCCACTCTCCCAAGCTACTTCAACGTGCAAATATTCTGCATAATTAGATCCCCATTATCAGGGGGGAGTGGTAGAAAGAGAACTGGACTAGGACTCAGGATACCTCATGATTATAGTACTAGCTCTTTCACTGATTGCAGACCTAAAGCAGATCATTTACATTCTTTGTGCCTCATTTTCTCTACTGTAAAGTAACTCCTTTCACTTGCTGTAGCTTTTTTGTTTTGATGTGACATTCTGATTCTTCAGCAAATATTAACAGACATGAAAGGAGAAAAAGAGAAAAATCTACTGAAATTACATAAAGAACAATGGGGACTGCAGAAGAAATCTATACAAGAGCCACAATTTTCTGAGCATGAAAGAGAAAAGGCCACATTCATCAGTTAAATAGAAACTATTCAAGATGGCAGCATGGGTAAACATGGCTCACCTCCTCAAACAACCACATCAAAATTACACCTAAAATATAGAACAACCATCACTCAGAAATTGAGTTGAATGGAAGTCTCACAACTACGGAATTTAAAAAACCACATCCGTCAAGACTAGTAGGAGGGACAGACTTGTGAAACAGGCTGGACCCACATCCATATGTACTGGACAAAAATTCGGGAGGTATATCTCAGGAGCAAGGAGTCCCAGCTTCATGGCAGAACCCAGTCCAGGGTTCCAATGCCAGGAAGATCAGTCCCCACAAGTACTGGTTGCCAAAACCAGTGGGGATTGTGTTGGTGGGGAAAAAAAAGCTGGAGTCCCAAGCAGTTCCTCTTAAAGAAGCCACACACGGACTTACTCAGACTCACTCTCTCTGAGCTCTAACACCATGGTAGCAGCTTGAAAGTCACCAGTGGCATAAAGGGAAGAACCGAAGTGCCTGGCATGAAGGTGAGAGCTGGAGGACAGGTTTCTCCCAGACAGAAAGGCAGGCAGAGGCCACTGTCCCTATTCTGGACCCTGTCCCCACAGAGCCACAGAGACAGCAGGCTGGTGCCATATCTGAGGCTCTATCAACCTGGCTAACATAGTTTGTCCTGCCCTGGAGATCCCCAGAGACTCCAACCCACCCAACTTATGGGCCCACCCAACTCGCTTTTCCATATAAATGGCTGGTCTTGGCTCATGCTTCACAATTTCTTAAATCTTCCCAAACAAGCAACAGCCAGCCTCAGTGAGCCCCCAGCTCCTCTACCTCTTGTTAAGTGGCTGCACTCCTGGCACTAGCAGCAGCCAGCTTGGCTTTGCCTGGGAATCTGTAAGCCCAGCACAAGCAGCAGCCATTTCAAACAGTTGATAGCTCAGACAGGGTGGTCCTGGGCACAACACAGGTGGGGGCTGACCTTGGCCTGCACCACATGGGAAACCCCAGAGCCTGCGCGCCCAGTGGACAGCGAGAGACCACAGTGGAGTGAGGACCTCAACATCATAAAAAAGATCCAGTCAGAAACAAAGGACACACCAAGTGAAATAAAGAACAATTTACAGGGAAACAACAGTAGGGTGAGTAAAGCCAAGAATCAAATCAATGATTTGGAACATAAGGAAGCAAAAAACAACCAATCAGAATAACAAGAAAAAAAAACAATATAAAAAAATAAGGACAGACTAAGCAGCCTCTTAGACTATTGTTAGGACAACTTCTAATAATCCAACATTAGCGTCATAGGAGTGCAAGAAGGAAAAGAGAAAAAGCAAGAGATTGGAAATCTATGTGAAAAAATAGTGAAAGAAAGCTTCCCTAGTACGGTGAAGGAAAGAGACATGCAGATCCGGGAAGCACAGAGAGTCCCAAACAAGATGGATGCAAAGAGGCCCACTCCAAGACACATCATAAGTAAAACGCTAAAGGTTAAAAATAAAGGGATAATATTAAAGACAGCAAGAGAAAAGAAGTTAGTTATCTACAGGGGAGTTCCCATAAGACTTGTTAGCTGATTTCTCAAAGGAAACTTTGCAGGCTGTTAAGCCCCTTTGAAGGGATTAACAAGAAGTAGTCAAAGTGATGAAAAGCAGGGACCTGCAGCCAAGATTGCTCTACCCAGCAAAGCTATCATTTAGAATTGAAGGGCAGATAAAGAGCTTCCCAGACAAGAAAAAACTAAAGGAGTTCATCATCACCAAATCATTATTATATGAAATGATAAAGGGACTTATTTAAGAAAAGAAGATCAAAACTATGAACAATAAAATGGCAATAAGTACATATCTGTCAAAACTGAATCTGAAAAACAAACTAAGCAAAGAAGAAGAGATAGAATCATGGATACAGAGAACATTTTGATGGTTGCCAGATGGGATGGGGGTGTTGTGGAGTAGATGAAGAGGTGAAGTGATTAAGAAGTTCAAATAGGTAGTTACAGAATAGCCATGAGGATAGTACAGGAAACAGAGTAGCCAAAGAACTTATACACATGACCCATGGACATGACAATGGTGGGAGGATTGCCTGAGGGAGTGGTGGATGCTCGGTGCAGGGGGCAAAGGAAGAAAAATTAGGACAACCGTAATAGCATAATCAGTAAAATATAATTTGAAAAAAGAAAATAATAATATTAAGATGTGAAAAAAGCATACCCAATCCTCTGCGAATGATCACACGCACCATATGCTTATACCCCTTCACCTTTCTCCCCATCTTCTCACAGACTTCAAACTCCATGAAACAAAAGGAATATAAGACCCAATGCTGGGAGAGGGGCCAGGCCCTGAGAAGTGTGTTGAACCCAGGTAAAAGTGGCTTTGCAGATCTTCTCATGAGTGTATCTTTCGAATGATTGACTGTCTTCTTGGGTTTGGGAGTAACTTATTTTCTTCATTAAAGACATCTACAATAGTTTTCAACATTTTTTTTCTCTTAGCTTTCTCAGAGCTCCAGTTCCTGATACTGGATTTGGGATTTAGATACCTCCTTAAGACTTAAGACTTACTGGACCAAGAGTTGCAGATGAAAACAGCAACCAACTTTCTATCTCTAACTCTAGGAAACATTCTAGAGCAGAAGACAATGAAGTTTTTTTAAAGGGCTACATATAAACATTTAATGCTTTGCAGGTCATATGGGCTCTGTCACAACTACTCAACTCTATCATTATATCATGAAAACAGCTGTAGACAATACATAAACAATGGTGTGACTGTGTTCCAATAAATGTTTAAAAAAGCAGGTGGTGCGTCCTAGTTTGCAGACCCTGCGCTGGAGAGATGTTGGTGCTGGGCAGGACCTTAGAAATCATCCAAACAAAACTCTCATTTTACAGATGAGAGAGTGCAGCCAAGAGAGGCAAAGAGCCAGGTTACTCAAGGCCTGCCAGCCTGAAACAAGTATGGGTCCTCCTTTCAGCTCTGAGGGTCTCTGCAGGGCACACATGCATACACACCTCCTTCTCAGGAGCCCTGTTCTCCTTCCTGCTTTGGAGAAATGGCTGGTAGTGCATATTATCATCAGTTCCTCACTTTTCTGTGAAAGGTCTGTCCCATCCACGCTCCAGTCAGGCCACTCCCACCCAATTTGTACCAAGATCAGTTACTGAGGGTTTACTATTTACAAAGTGCCTGCCATTTATACCTCATTTCATCCTCATAACAATCCTATCCAAGATGTATAATTTTTCTAGCATATGAAGAAACTCAGGCTGGAGAGGCCAAGCAACTTGCTGAGACTCCATAGACAGATAAGGACAGAGTCAGGATTTACTTCCCTTCCTCGTGCTGCCCCTGGTTCATTCATGTGGATCTAGCCAGGCGAGGATTAAAGATTCTAGAATTTAGCCAGGGCAGCCCCATCATTCCCTCTACCTAGACACAGTCTTGCCCACCCTCAAGGACCACTTCAGAAACACTTTTTTCATGAAGCCTTCCCCTGCCCTTCTCTGGTCACCATCAGTGAGGACAACACAACTAAGCACCTACAGTGTTCCACCTGTACTGCTCACTGTGACATCTTGTGCATTAACATTTTCACACTGACTGCTATAAACTCCTCAAAGTCAGCACCAGGTACATAACAGGTACTTGGTGTATACCATCTGGTACTTGATATATGTGCCAAACCCTATGCTAAGACCCTTAAATGTATTCTAATTTTCACAAGAACATCCTGAGGTAGATGCTATTATCCCACTTCACAGATGAGGAAGCTGAGACACAGAGAGGCTAAGAGAGAGAGAAGAATGGCTTTCCTGTTGCCACAGAAGGTCAAATGGATGAGCTAGAAGGGACTTTAGTATGAAAGAAAAAGGAGGGGGGAATGGAGGGAGGGGGAGACCGGGGGGGGGGAAGGGAAAAAAAAATAAAAAAAAAAAAAAAAAAAAAAGAAGTCATCTTGTCCAACTTTTCCATTAGACATGAGCAAACTAAGTCTTGAGGTCACATAGCTAACTACTTATATAAAGAGCATCAGACTGCTAAGACTGGAAGTGAAATCCTTTGTGTTTCCAGTCCAAGAAGCAGTCCTCTGTGAAGTCGAAAACCACAGTCTCCATCTCAGCACTTCACACAGAGGTTAAGCATGTAGGAGGCACTCAAATGATATATGTCCACTGAAATGAGGGAGGAAGTGCAAGTGGGAGGGGGAGGGAAGGACAGGAGGGGTCTGGTTACTTTCTCTGCAAACTACCACTTACCAAAGGTGAAATAATCTCCATCAGGGGCTTTTGCGGCCTTCCACATGGTGAGAAAGTTTTCAAAGTAAGCTGCCACGCAGACACTGGTCATAGTGTTGCAGGAAAATGAAGCAACCAGACACCGAGGGTTTCTGGAGTACGAGGTTTTATTAACATAAACGGGCCCAGAGGAGTCAGTCTCCAAATTCTGAGCCCTGAACAAAGGATTCTTGGGGTTTTTATAGTTTACAGGGTCTTCTTGTCTACATAGCAAAGCGGGATACAGAAGGGGAATGGGGAAGTTAGTTCTAGTTATGGGGCAGAAGCAGAGTACAAAGGCTAAATTCGAAGGTCAGTTTTTAACAGCAGGGGTGTTAATCTCAGTCCTAGATAATGCACTGTTGTTTACTTATCCCAGACAGCCCCATCATTCTCCCTAGGGCGCCTGGGGCCTGGGCAAATAAAGGTTAAACAAAGGTTCTTCAAAGTTTCCCATATCAATAGGACACCGAAGGACCAGAAATATTCTTCTACCTCTCCCTTCCCATCGAAGTGCTCAACTTCCAACTTCCCACCAGGTCAGGCGCTTATTGTTCTCCAGGCCACTGTATACCACGTACTTCAGACCCAGGTGCTTGGCGACATCCGCCACCAACTTTCCCTAAGAGAGAAATGTAAATTCTTTATGTCGATCACTGTATCTGCATATAGACAAGAGGCAAGTACTGGTTCCCCTTACGCCCTCTTTTCCTTATTGTCTTCCTTAGAGAGGAAGCTCTTCCAACATCAAAATGTATTCAAGTTACCATCTGAGAGGCCACCGGTATTAGGGGGCAGAGGTTCTACCAACATCAAAATGCTGAACTTCTTCAAAGGCTAAGAGGCAGCCTGGTGGGAACAGTCAGGAAGATATCAGTATCTTTGTGATCAACTGCCATCTTTATTTGTATATGAGGCTCAGGAATACCTGAGAAAACAATATGTAGTGTAATAATGTTTTCGAGTAATGAATTATATCTGCACACCATTTCAAAATTGAGAGCATAATGAAGACACACACATACACGTTTTCTTTTTTGTGTTTTAGTTCCAAAATGTCCAAAGCACCTTCATCTCTATTTCTCTCTCTATCTCTCTCTCTTTCCCCCCACTGTTTTCTTCTTTTCCTTTCCCTACAAAACACCATGTAGCAAGCAGAGAAGACATAATTAATCTGGTTTAGTAGATGCAGAAAGTGAAGCAGAGAAGTGACTCAGTACCCCTGGGCTTCACATTGAGTGAATATCAGAACTGGAGCTTAGAGTTCCTAAAATAAGCCCTTCCAAAGTTTACCACTAAAAGATAAGCTGTAAATGGTATAATTAATTTAACAGACATTCCTGAAATGGTTCAATTCTGTTCTTAATATTTTTAATTGCCATTTCTGCAAGAGGCTGATCCCATGCATTACAGTTTTAAAATCTAATCTTCATATTTTTCCAATTTATATTTATTTATAATTTCAAATAGTACCATCATGGCAGGGATAGAACTTGTAATGACAAAGATGTTCTCTGATCCCCCATGCTGATAACCACTCTCCAGAAGTAACCACTTTCATCCGTTTTTGCTGTTCATTTCTAAATGATATGTGTGTACCATTACTTCTTGATTTGTTCCATTTAAAAAAATTTTTTACTTAAAAAAATTTTTTTCCAATAATTTTTTAAATTTATTTTTCAAGTACAGTTTTTTGCCTTTTACTCCCTTCCCGGCCCCCTCCCATGCTCTCCATGATCTGTTCCATTTAAGATATCATCTACTAAGTTCCTGCTATGAAAGATGAGCCCTCGTTTTTGTGCCCCCCCTCACACACACAGTCCATCTCCACCGTCACACATATATGTGTATTCCTGATAGCATAGTTTTGGGGTAGATCAACACTCAGTGCTTACACATAGCTGATGTTGAACATGTAACATTCTATGGTTGTTTTTTTTTCCTACAAATTTTTATTTTCCCTCATGTTAATCATTGTGGGTTTATTTGCTTGTTTGTTCAGTTCCTTTTCCAAGTACCCATTACTAATTTCTCCCCAAATTCTCTGTCAGAGTATAAATATACTCATGACACTTTTGTTCTTCCCTCTTCACTTCAGAGTTATCTTAATTTGTGGGGTACCCTTCATATGTTACCTGCAAACAAATGGGGAGCATTTAATGACTGGCTCTGGTGCGCAGTCACTCTCCAGTCTCCGAGGTCTGGAGTGTGGGCATGTGCTGCATCACACTGATTTCACAATCAAAGCCCCTCTAACAAGCACTGGGAATACACATATTTCATAAATACCAGTGAGATGTTGTGGAGTGACCCTTGTGTTTTTGCCCAGACTGAGGGTCTACCCCCTTCAAGGGAGGGCAGAGCAGCCAGGGTAAAAAGAGACACTCAAAGGTGGCCCCACCTGACATACTTCTTTCTCTTTGCTGAGATGGCCCCAGAAGCTGGTCACCACAGAGGCCCCACAGGCATCTTTTAAGGCAGCCTCCACTGATGCTTCATCCTTCAGGTTCCCTTTTACCACTTCAGTGCCAAGTCCCAGAGCACCGGTCCCAAGGTGCATTGGGTCGAGTCACATCCCTGGTCAGAACTCTCAGAGCAAACTTTTTGCTCTCCAAAATGGCCTTGGCCACAGAGCGACCCTGAGCTCCTGCAGGATTGGGGAAGAAGAAACAGAGGAAGAATCAGGAAAAATGTTCACTACAAAACATCTGGACAGGAAGCCCCATTACTCAGAGTACAGCGGTTGTGGTAACTATTTCAGGCTGCATCCCCATGGCTCGCAACGGCGGTTTTCAAACTAGATTTCCCGCAGCCTCACCAGAGGCACCTTTGCAGAACCCACGATGAAAAGGAAGAATGGGAGAGGCCTGAGGCAACAAGGAGGACAAAGCAGTGGGGTGCCAGACCCTCTGCCCAGATTCAACTGGGAAATGTACTTTTATCTGATTATAGATTTTATTTTGAGGTTCTTCACACAATTTTATTTTCAAAAGAGCTTCCTATTCTACATTTTTTTAACAGTTGAAAACTTGCTAAATTTCTTTTTATGGCATTTAAAGCCATCAATGAGATGACCATTACTTGCCTAATTTATCTGCTCTTCTAGTATATACTGAATGTCCTCTGATACACACCAGGCACTGTGCCGAGTCACTGACATTTGGGATCCTCTATCAGATTGGTTACATACCTGTCTTGACTATGTTTTTTTGTGCCTTCAGATCTACCTTCACCTGCTTAATGCCCTAGGAGGCTGACCTGTGTGGACCCCACCAATAGGCTCACTTGCTCTCAGGCTCACTGGCCAATGAGAGGCATCAGCAGGAGACCCAAGGGCAGGAGGGGAGGTTTTGGTCATCTCTCTCACCCTCTGCTTCTTCCTCCTGTTGCTTACCTACTCATTCCTGGTCTCTTCCCTGTCCACCATTATTTGTCTTTGGCTTTTCTGAAAGAGTGTGGCACTTGTTTCCTGTGGAATCCCCACTGATACAACACTGATAACCCTACAGGGTCTAACGTTCAATGAGCTCTGCTTTTGCCCAGAAATTTCAGCCAAAGTTTAGTCTTCTAGTAATAAATATGAACAGACAGCCAAAGGTCACCAGATATTTGAAGAAAGCCTCCAACAAAACCAAAATAAACAAACTGATAAAAAGAAATGGAAACAATGCAGTGAAGAGAAGAAAAGTTTTAAAGAATTAATATTTTCAGACACTGGAGAAGATTTTGCATTCAGAACACTCCATCTGCATACTACACTGATAAAAAGGGAGAGGGAGGCAGGAAAGAAGCAGAGAGAACATTCAGAAGAGAAGATGAAGCTCTCAGAAATTTAAAATATTATAGCAAAAATAAAGTTTCAGTAGAAAAAGTTGGAGAAATCTCTCAGGATTAGAAGGAAAAAAAACCTCCAAAGAAATGGGAACTAGAAAAGAGATTATAGAAAATGGAGCCAGGGGAATTCCTGAATGAGAGAACAGAGAAAATGGACATATGGAATTATCAAAGATAATTTTCCAGAGTACAAGGATTTTGCATGACCTTCCAGATTAAGGGGCCACTGAGTACCCAGCACAATGAATAAATGAAGTCCCACATTATTATTTACATAATTGAGGAATTTCAGAACACTGGCAATAAAAAAACCTTATGAACTTTGGTAGAAGGGTAGTTAATTCAAAGATGGGGGATCAAAATAGCACGTGATTTCTTTATAACATTGGAAGCAATGGAGTAATGCTATTTGGGGTGGGGGTTAATTTCTATTTAGAATTTTAAACGCAGCCAAATGAGCGATTGATTCTAAACCTTCTATATGAAGACATTTTCAGACAATCAAGATCTCAAAAATTTAACCCCATATGTGCTCTTTCTCTGTAAGCTGCTGGGAGATGTGCTCCAGCAAAAAGACAAACTAAAGCAAACGGAAACCAAACCCAGGAGAAAGACACAGAGAATTGTTAGAATAATGGGGGAGAGAATCCTAGAAAGGCTGAAACAGAAAAAGATAGCATTCCCAGAGGAAGTTCTCCATGGAAAGAAAAAAACAGAACAGACAAATTAAAGAAAAAAAATGAGTGACAGTTACAAAGAAAATGAAACAAATAAAAAAGAAATGCAATTATTAATTTCAAGGAAAACAAAAAGTTATATGAGAAAAGAAAGTGCACACTACAATGGCTCAAGTATGAACGATAATTACATAGTCATAACAAGAGTCCATATTAGTCCATCATTGATATGAAAAATACAAATAGTTATAAATTATATGGGTCAGATGAGAAACAGGAAGTATTGCTTGGGGCTGGGGATATAAGAGACCTAAAGATAATGAATAATATCTAAAACTGAAAAAGCAAGAAACAGCCCAATACCACAATATTTAGAAATATGGAGACAAACACCAGTAGAAACAGAAGAGTTAAATGTGGAAAGGGGTAGGGCAAGTTCTGCTGGGTTTCTTTTTAAGACCTGTAAGTAAACTTAAAACTATTATATACACATCTATAAAAATTAAAATTAAATATAAAATATTTGTTGGCTGTAGTAATTTGTTAAGCCTGCTGAAAGTCCACAGATGGTGGCTTAAACAATTGAAATTTTTTTGTCTCACAGTTCTGGAGGCTGGAAGCCCAAGATCAAGGTGTTGCTGTGTTTGGTGTTACTGTGTTTGGTTATTCCTGAGATGTCTCCCTTTGGCTTGCAGATGGAGAGCCTTGTAACTGTGTCTTTGTACAATCTTTGCTTTGCGCACTTGAGTCCCTCCTGTCTGTCTCTATGTGTATGAAATTTCCTCTTCTTAAATGGACACCAGTCTGATAGGGTTAGGGACCACTATAATGGCCTTACTTTAATGTAATTACCTCAGGAAAGCCCTACCTGCGTATAGAGTCATATTTAGAGAGGCGCTAGAAATTAGGGCTAGAACATATGAATTATTCTGGGGGGAGAAACAATTCAGCCTATATCATCGACTATTGTAATTATTTCTTTATAACTCTCCTACTACACTAGGTTCTCCTTGAGGACAGAAACTATTTACTCTTCATCCCTGTTTCCCAACCATGTGCTGAGGCTATTCTCTGGCAAACTCCAAGTTTTCAACATCTACATGTTGAATTGTGGACCAAAAGGGGCCATGTACAAAACCTGACAAGTTCAGGGGCGGCCTGAATGAATGAAATGAAAAAACTGAAAGCCCTGGCTGGTGTAGCTCAGTGGTTTGAGCTCGGGCCTGCAAACCACACAGTAGAGGTTCGATTCCCAGTCAGGGCACATGCCTGGGTTGCAGGCCAGTTCCCAGCAGAGGACTCACGAGAGGCACCCACACATTGATATTTCTCTCCCTCTCTCCTTCCCTTGCCCTCTAAAGATAAATAAATAAAATCTTAAAAAAAAAAAAAAAAGAAATGAAAAGACTGAAATCTCTGTGCTCTCAACTCATAGCTTTGGAGGTAAACAGTCCTGCCTTCACCTGTATGAAAGAATAAGAAGAGCTGGACCTAAACCAGGACTGTCACTTTTAACCACTGTCACTTTTAATGTTTTACTAAGACCAGAACCAGAAAAAGAATCCATCCATCTTGGCCCTGTTCCTTTAAATTAGCAAGGCATCACATAAACCTAGGAACCCACAAAAGTAGCCCCAAGAATATTCATTCTAGACATACTCAGTTGTCCCAGAGCTTCTTTGCCTGCTCTGGATTGTTCTCTCTTGGATCCAGTTCCCTCCCAGGTGATTCTATGTTGCAGACAGTGTCAACATAAGAAACAGCCAAAGCTATAGAGAATGTTTATGAGTTTAAACTCTCATACATATAAAAACATTATTTGAGCCGCCCTGGCTGGTGTGGGTCAGTGGACTGAGTGCTGGCCTGCTAACCGAAATGTTGCCAATTCAATTTTTCGTCAGGGCACATGCCTGGGTAGTGGACCAGGTCCCCAGTTGGGGGCATATGAGAGGCAACCTATCGATGTATCCATCACAGAGGGATATTTCTCTCCATCTCTTTCTCCCTCCCTTTTTCTCTCTAAAAATAAGTGAATGAATAAATAAATAAATAAAATATTTTTTAAAGAAATTAAAAATATTATTTGAGCCAACTGATGACATATGCCAGGGAGCAAGATCTCAAATACTGCACAGAATAAAATTTTGCAGTGTCTTTTATGCACTTGAAATTAAGGAGAGAATCTACGCAGATACAAGAAGGTGGCAGAAAGCAAAGCAGGGATTGGATTAACAGGATAGTTAACAAGACTATGCGCTCTCTTCAGGGTGGTTAAGGCTTATTTCAAAGACATGTTAACCTAGATGCAAAGAAGCAGTGGACAGGACTAGCTGTAGGAGAAGATAAGCCTTTCACTAACGAAGTTGTGTGCCTGCCGCCAGCCTACCTACCACAACTTGATCAGTTAGATATTTGAGATCAGATCACCGTGGGAGGTTATTTTCCACAGAACCCCCTTTTGTCTACAGGTGCATTTGAATGGCAAGCACTGTTCAGAGTCTGATGTGCAAACACATACAAAGGTAAGAGTTAACACGTGTCCCTGTCAAATTTAACTAGGCATTTTATATTTTTATCTGCTAAATTGGGCAACCCTACCTCAAACACCCAAACACACCCAGAGCTCCATGGTGACTGAAGTAGGGACCGGAGGTAGGCCATAAAGTAATCCGTCCACTCCCTTAGTTAAGTAGGAAGCAACTTTCTTCAACTCCGACACATCTAATCTGATTCTTTTACGAGCCACTCCCAAGGCTCTTATGCAACTGCCTACTCTGGATGTCTAGGCAGCAACTCAAGCCTGAGACTAAAACAGAATTCCTGGTCTTTTTTGACCTGCTCCTACCATGGTCTTCCCTGTTTCGGTGACCACGCTACGTGTTCTTCCAGGTGCTCTGAACACTGAAATCATTGCTTACTCCTTTCTTCTCACCTGTTATCTTGTCTGTCAGTGAACCCTGTTAACTTTCTTTAAAATATGTCTGGAATCTGATCACTCCCCACCACCTCATTGCTACCAAACCTGTCCAAGCCATGATCATCTAAACTGGATTATGGCAGCAGCTTCCTAAAAGGTTTCCCTGCTTCAGCCCTTGCCCCCTGCACTCTCTTCCCAAAAGAGAAGCTGAAATGATCCTTTTAACGTAGAAGTCATTTCGATCTCTCCTCTGGTCAAAATCTTTTAAGCCTTCTTATTTCTTTCAGAAAAAAAAAAGCAATATTCTCACCTTCACCCCAATGTCTTATATAGTCACCCCCATGTCCCATTTACTTTTTTAAATATATTTTTAAAGTATATTTTATTATTATGCTATTACAGTTGTCACATTTTTTTTCTCCCCTTTACACCCCTCTGCCCAGTACTCCCATTCTCTCCAGCATTCCCTTTCCTGCCCCCTTAGTTCACATACATGGGTCATACATATGTTCTTTGGCTTCTTTATTTCCTATACTATTCTTAACCACCCCCTGTCTATTTTGTACCTACAAATTACACTTCTTATTCCCTGTACCTTTACCCCCATTCTCCCCACCCCCATTCCCACTGATAACCCTCCGTGTGATCTCCATTTCTTTATTTTAAATTTTAATATATTTTATTGATTATGTTATTATAGTTGTCCTGTTTTTTTCTCCCCTTTATTCCCCTCCTCCCTATACCTCCCCTCCCACCATCATTCCCCCACTTTAGTTCATGTCCAGGGTCATACACACAAGTTTTTTGGCTTCTGTCATAACTGGCTATTGGTTTTTGCAAATATATTTCTCTCTTCTCCCTACTTTAATCCTCTCCTCTTTTCGGACAAAATTTCTTTGCTCCTAGAGCTCATATTTATTCTAGTGTAGAGATAAATCAAGCAGGCAGGGTAGCCAAACAGCAGCAGGGCGGAGCGGAGTTGCAATGGTAAACATGAAGTTCTGGAAAGTTCTTATAGAAAGGGTGCATTTGAGCAGAGGCTCAGGGGACATGAGGGAGAAAGCTGTGAGGGTAACTGGAGGAAGATTATTCTAGGTTGCAGGAGCGGCCAGTGCAAAGGAATTAAGGTGACAGTATGCTTGAGGAAAATGCAAAGTAAGCAAAAGGGAGGGTAGAAGATGGGGGTCCATTAGCTGGACTTTGCATTTTTCTTGGAGTGAGATGGGGGTGGGGGGTTGGAGAGTTTTGAGCAGAGGCATGTCCTCATCTTATAGTTTCAAATGGATCATCAAGAGGCTGAAATGAGAACAGATTCCTATTCACAGGAATGGCCTGAATGGATGAACATTTTGCAAAGATGGCTCTGGCTGTAAAGAACAGATTGTAAAGGAGGCAAGACTGAAAGCAGAGATGGCAGTTAAAAGGCCTGCACAGCTGTCCCAGTGAGGAAAGTCACTCAGCACATTCTCCTAACCTCCACCCACTCCATCCTTGCAGAATCGCTTGGGTACTGGTCAGGCATGAGACACCCCCTGCAAACCCATGGGCCTCGCACTTGCTCTCTGACTTGTCAGGAAGTACATGGAAAAAAGTCTCCAGTGTATAGCTTATATTAAAATGAACGATACCAACAAGTCAGCACACAATTGAGAAAGAGAGAATATGTCAATTGTCCATGTCCCACTGAGATCATTTCTGACAAACAAAATCAAATCACCCAAACCTTTTACCACATCAGAAACTCAAGCAACAGGACACCTTTCTTCATTCTTCCAGAGGGCTCTTTGTTCAGCCCATACTGACTTTAAAACAAGACAGGAAAGTAAGCCAAGTCATCATGCACTTCATAGTAAGGAGTTTTTCTTACCTGTTGCTCCAAACACTGCAATTACTTTCTTGCCGGTCATGTTACTGGACAAAGAAATAGTGTAGTAGCTGAATTTTCTCTTCAAATAGTTTCTGACAGCAGCTGAAATAGTTTTTCTTCAAGCATGGGAGTTATAAGCCATACCCCTCCTTTGCATAATTTTTTGGCCCTCCTTTGTATAATTTTTGTTGTTACCAGCTAGCTTACTCACTATGACACTGCAATTTTCCAAACAGGATTTGTTTGTTCCCTCACTCGTGCATTCAGCAAATGTGTATTGAGTGCCTTTGGTGTACCAGGTATTGCACTAGAGGCCCTGGTGGTCCGGATCTTGTAAGGGAGATAAACTAGTAAATAAACGTACAGTAGAGAGGAATGGCAGAGGGGACATGGGTTATGGAGGAACAACACCAAACCCAGACTGGAGGTGTTAGGGAAGGCTTTTCATAGAAGAGGATACTGGAGCTGGCCTAAAGACCCTCTGAGAGACCACCCGGGCAGGAGAAACCACACATAGCCAAGTTCAAAGGCATGGCAATTCTGATACGGGGTTCCCGATGGCTGCAACAACATTACATGTGTAGTGAGAAGACTGGGAAGGATTCAGGAGCCAGAACACAAAGGGCCTGGTGGGCATGGCAAGGAGCTTGGATTCATTCTGATAGCCACAGCAGGTTTTATGTGATTCTCTGGCAGCAGGGTGGAGGCTGAGTCGAAACAAGACCATGCTGGAGACTAAAGAAATGATACAGGTAAGAAATAACAAAGGTTAGAACAGAGCAGTGCTTGCAGTTGAATTGTGCCCCTTCCCCAAATTCATATGTTGAAATCCTAATTTCCAATACAGTAGAGTGTGACCTCATTTGGAGACAGGGTCTTCACAGAGGTAATCAAGTTAAAGTGATATTGTTAGAGAGGGCCTAATCCAATATGACTGGTGTCCTTATAAAAGGAGAAAATTTGAACACTGAGATATGTACAGAGGGAAGAGGATGTGAAGAGATAGGGAGACCACCATGTGAATATGAAGAGGCCACCTACAAGCCACGGAGAGAGAGGTCTGGCACAGATCTTCCCTCTCAACCCTGGGAAGGAAGTGACCCTATCAATATCTTGGTTTTGGACTTCTGGCCTCCAGGACTGTGAGACAATAAATTCTGTTGTTTCATCAACCCACTGTGTGGTACTTTGTTATGGGAGCCCTAGTAAACCAATATACACGGTAACAATGAGGGTAAAGTGAGAGATGTTTAGGAAGCATACTGATCCAATCCTTGATTGGATGTGGCAAAAGGGAGAGCAAGGAAGGAAAAGGACCAAAATAACTGTCAGCTGGATAGGCAATGGAGGAGCAAGTAGCGGAGCTCAGGGGACAAGATCCGAAGTGAACCTCCTGGGTTTGAGGCTGCAGGTTATTGCGTGATTGAGAGATGAGGAAGTAAGAAAAGCACATATAGATGTCTTCTTTAAGGAGCCTTGCTGTAAAGGAAGCAAGAGTGGACTATGGTTACAAAATGAAATGGAATCCTATTTCACAAGGAGAGACTTGAACATGTTTGTGGGTTAAAAGTGGCTCTCTCCATCCCTTACGCTGTTTATTTTTCTCCATAATACGTATGATTTGACATATTACAGGTGATTTCTTTGTTCATATGTTTATTTCCACACACACCCCCAACTACAACGTGTACTCCACGAGGGCAGTGACTTTGTTTTATTCACTTGTGCATGTGTAGATCCAGAGACTATAGCTATATCTGGCTCATAGTAGGCCACAGTAAGTATTTGTTGAATGAAAGTAACTAGGTTTCTAAGGAAGCTGGAAGGCATGGACTGTGCAGCACAAATGAAGGGATGCTGAAAACAGCAGCTATCTCAGGGGTACCTAGAACCCTCTGCCAAACAGTTATGAAAACATATCAAAAATGGGGCAAATCATGACTCTGCAGCCTGTCTCTTGCCTTTCCCTACACTGTCCCACTCATATCACCTGCTCCTGCCTGATTATCCTTGAATGAGGAAGCAATTCTCCTAACTGCCTCCCTCTACAGTGTAACCTGTAATGAAACAGAGAGGGAGGCTCTGGAGTTGTTACAGATTGGAAGAGCTGGTCGTGCACACCTGTCCATTTCTTAGGGACAAAGGTAAAGAGACTAAGCTGGGAAAGCTAAATCCATAGGGCCCAGTAAGTGGAAAACTGTTCTCATTTCTAAGATAAAGGTATTAGTGGAATAAAGTCAGTTATGTCATAAGAAAGACATGTAGTGTGCCTGCTACCCTAAACTACACATGATATTACTCTTGCCATATGGAGAATTCTCAGTAATATTCCCAGCAAACATGCAAAAGAAACAAAGATTTATATTCAAGTAATTTATCCATAGGTTATTAACATGGAAAAGAACTAGAGACAACCTAAATTTTAAGTAAATGATGGCACAGCCATAAGACAGAATGGTATATCTCCGTTAAAAATTACACTTTGTAAGAATTTTCATAAGGTGGGAAAATGCTCACAATATAAAGTTATATGAAATCAACAGAATAGAGAACTGCATATATAGCGTGATTTCAGTTTGTAAAGAGAAAATCACACACACACATGCATACGCATATATAGACTAAGAGCAGTTGCATGATTTGATGCAATATGGTGGTGGTAGAACCAGAGAACTGGGCAAGACACGGCATTATTGCTTTATACTTTGATTATAGCATGACACTATGACATGCACATCATCCTATGAGCTGACTGAAAAAAATTAAAAGCCTACAAGGACATACCAGCACTATTAATGTTAGCCTAGAGTTGAAACAACCATGTCCATCAAGAGTAGAATGAACAAAGTGTGGCATATTCGTACAATCACATACCACACAACAAAAAGACTGAATACACCAAATTCAACATGCAACAACCTGAAAAACCTCTTAGATAAAATGTTGAGCAAAAGAGTAAAGGAACACCTAGCATATGATTCAGTTTCCATAACATTCAAAAGCAGGAAAAACTAATCTATGGTGATAGACATGAGAAGTGATTAGTTATGGGGGCAGTTATTGGAAGGAGCTTAAGGGGGCTTCTGTGGGGGCTGCCATAGGGCTGAAATATTCTACTTCTTGATCTGGGTGTTGATTGTCCATGTGAGTTCATTTTGTGAAAATTTATCAAGCTGTACAGTTAAAATCTGTGTAATTTTCTCTGTTATATTTCATTTTAAAGCTTAAAAACTAATCTATAGAAAAAAAAACAACAACAAGCATTTGAACAGGAAAACCTAAAATGGGCAGGTACAAGCCTGTAAACATTTACACTGGATAGAAGCAAAAACTTCAGCTTTTTAACTAGGCAAGTCCCTACCCAGGGCAAATAGGAACACAGTAACTGTTCGATAATTTCTCAATGTTATTACAGTAAAATTTAAGCTAAATTATTGGTGTTCTGAAAAGGAAAAGATTATTTGTCACTTGCAGAGAGGTTGGACAAAAGAACAAAATCAAGAAAGGCCAGGAATTCAAGCTTAGATAAGAATTAAAATTTGCCCTGGCTCGTGTAGCTCAGTGGATTGAATATGGGTCTGTGAACCAAAGGATTGCCGATTCAGTTCCCAGTCAGGGCACATGCCTGGGTTGAAAGCCAGTTCAGGTCCCAAGAAGGGGTGCACATGAGGCAACCACACATTCATGTTTCTCTCCCTCTCTATCTCCTTCCCTTCCTCTCTAAAAATAAATTAATTAATTTAAAAAACAGTTAAAATGTTTGAGCTGGATGAGGAAGATATTTCTAGTAAAGGTAAAAGCTTTACAAGCCCATAACTATTTTAAACATTAAAAGGTTTAGATAATGCTCTTTGCTTTTGTTTTGTTTCTCATATCTTAATAGATTTTATTTCTTTATCAAATAATGCATTCCCATAGTAAAAATTGGGAAAATTCTGTTAAGTGTAAAGAACTAGAAACCTGGACTTCTGCCAAGATGGAGGCATAGGTGGAAGCACTATGCCTTTTCGCACAACCAAGTTTAAAAACAACAAAGTTTTAGCAACAAACACGCAGCCAAACCACAGAAAACTGAACTACACAAAAGTCTGACAGCAACGAACCCTTCAGCCAAACCAGTAAGAGGGGCAGAGCCAGCAGCAGAGCTGGGTCAGGCAGGAAAGAGCCACTGGACTGACCCAGGTGCGCCAGCAGCTGTGGGCGGATCCCAGGTGTGGAGAAGCAGGCGGACCCAATGAGGGCTTGTGGCGGTCATATATTCACGCTCAGATAAACCGGAGAAGGAGCTAGCGGTGGTGAGACTGATCGCGCAGGCCCCAGGGGCAGAAAGCGGCAGAGAGAACTGCCATTGTCCCTCTCTGACCCCGCCCCCACATACAGCGTCACAAACCAGCCACTGAGTTGCCCCACCCTGGTAAACAACTAAGGCTCCGCTCCTCATAGGTAACAGGCACGAACAGATCAAAACATGGCTCAAGAAAAACTCAGAGCCCCAGAGCCTATAAATCTAAGCGAGGAAGAAATAGCCAAACTTTCAGATGCACAGTTCAAAACACTGGTGATCAGGATCCTCACAGAACTGGTTGATTTTAGTCATAAATTAGAGGAACATATGGAAGCTAAACTAATTGAAATGAAGGGAAATACACAGGAAACCAATAGTAATGGAAAGGAAACTGGGACTCAAATCAAAAGAGTGGACCAGAAGAAGGAAAAGAATGACCAAAGAGAAAAGGATGAAGAAACAAGAATTCAAAAAAAAAAAAAATGAGGAGAGTGTTAGGAACCTCCAGGACATCTTTAAATGTTCCAACATCCAAATTATAGGGGTACCAGAAGGGGAGGAGGAACAGCCATGAGTGGAAAACTTATTTGAATAAATAAGAAAGGAGACTTCTCCAATCTGGCAAAGGAAATAGACTTCCAGGAAATCCAGGAAGCTCAGAGAGTCCCAAAGAAGGTGGACCCAAGAAGGAACACACCAAGGCACATCATAATTACATTAGCCAAGATTAAAATGAAGGAGAGAATCCTAGAAGC